ATCTTCCCCCCAAAATTAAAAGAATCATACCACAGTGATATATGTGCACCCATGTTTATAGTGGCACAGTTTGTAATAGCTGAAGCTTGGAAACAGCCCAAGTGCCCATCAACTGGAGACTGGATAAAGAAGATGTGGGGTTTTTTTATAAAATGGTGTACTACTCAGCCATAAAGAATAAGAAATTAGAGACATTTATAGCTAAATGGATGCACATTGAGGACATACAATCAAGTGAGATAAATAGGACATGCATATGTAAATACAAAATAGTTTCTCTGGTATGAGAAACATAAAATGTAAATAAGAATTAAAGTGAATAATTGATCATGTGAAGTGGGAGAGGTCCAAAGTGGTAGAGGAAGTGGTAGAGGTAGGGGAAAGGAAAGAAGGGAAAAGAAAAATGTGATATAAGAAATAAATGGAAACAAACCCTCTGCAAATAGGGAGGGATGTAAATAGGGGTTGAAGGGAGAGCAGGGGAATGGGGAAAAAATAAGAACCAAGATACATCATGTAAAGGTACAAGTTCCCAATGATGAATGTAAATGTATTGTATACCTAAAATGTACCAATAAAAGACTTTAAGAGAAAAAAAAGAATGAGAAAAGATGTCTAAGAAAATGACCCTATTAAATGCCATTGTGTCGGAGCAATGGAAGTGAAATCAAGAGAGGAAAATGATATCCACCTGCCATAGAGGAGAGGATGGAGAGGAGAGTATAATTTAGTTCTCCAACCATTCACTCAGTGCTTAATATGTGAAGTGCACTGTGCTGGAAGACAGGCTTTTCATGTTCTTATCCTCTTCTAGATGTAAACAGGTTATTTCATTATAGTGTGGTCAGCTCAGTGATATGCATGCTCAGTGTGTAATAGAAAGATAGCAAAAGTCACGGAACACAGCCTAAGACAGAAAAAAAACTTTTAAGAGATGATAAAAGATAAGCAGCATCTTCAGGCATAGTAAAAACCATGTAAGGAAGGTCAGAGGGAAAGTGACATCAGGAAAAGGCACTGCATGAAAAATAGCAAAGGCGAATAGAGCTTAAAAGAGAATACAGAATTCCCTAAAGGGAACAGTCAGCAGAGCTGAATGCTACTAAAAAGGAAAATAAAATTAAATGAAGAAGGCCCTTTGAGTTTGCCACTTTATGAAGTAACTGGTGACCTTGGCTATAGCAGCTACTCTGAAGTGAAGGGAACAGAAAACAGCCTACAGTAAGATGAAGAGTGAATGCTTCCAAAACTATGATATAGATTTAATGCAATGCGACTGAAATTCCAACAATATACTTTACAGAAGGAGAGAAAAAAATCCAAAAATTCATTTGGAATCCATCAGAAGAAACCTAGAATAAGAATAAGTCTAGGCAACAGAGACATGGCTGTGGGTATCACAATCCCCAACTTGAAACTATACTACAAAGCTACTGTGATAAAAACATCATGGTACTGGGAAAGAAACAAACCCGAGTATCAGTGGAATAGATTAGAAGATGCAGAAACAACTACAGATATACTCAGCCACCTCATCTTTGACAAAGGAGCCAAACATCCTCATTGGAGGAAAGATAGCCTATTTAATAAATGGCGTTAGAAAAACTGGATTTCAACCTGCCAAAGATTAAAACTGGACCCATACCTATCACCATGCACTAAACTAAGATTGAAGTGGATTAAAGATCTAAATATTAAGAAAGAAACACTAAACTTGCTGGAAGATAAGTTAGGTAAAACTCTTGAAGATATTGGCATAGGAAAAGACAATACTGAATAGTTTCTCCAGTGTGAGAAACTGAAAGTGTAAGTAAGAATTAAAATGATTAAAATTAATAATTGATACTTTGAAATAAGAAAAACACCAAAGGTGTAGGGGTGGTGGGAGGGGAAGGGGAAAGGGAAGAAAGGAAAGGAAAACTTATGAGAAAAGGAAAAAAAAAATGGAAATGAAATCTATGTAAATAGGGAAGGGTGGAGGGGGTGATGGGTGCACAGGTAATGGGGAAAAAAATAAGAACTAAGATACACCATGTACAGGTATAAACACCCAATGATAAATGTAAAACGTATTGTATACCTAAAATGCACAAATAAAAGAATTTAAAAGAAAAAAAATAGTGAATGGAAGAACATGAAGTTTCATGATAAAGAAGAATCACTTCGCAAGGAGTTTAATGGGGAAGAAAATACAGACAGGCTAGTTAGAATTGCTCAAAGGTCTGAAAAGGCTTTGCTTTACTGTCAGAGAGAATCCAGGACATTTACAAGTTGCAGGAAAGAAAGTAGAGTACAGAAAAGGTTTAAAATGTAGTTTACTTTATTCACTCATTCACACAACAAATATTTATAGAAACTCTGCAGTGTTCTTCAGCACATCATGCCAATATAAACAACCAACTCTCTTGATGGTGTTAGCATCACATTTTAAATAAACTTGGGAAACATAAATAGTCAATGGTAAATAGCAAAAAATTACATCTCAATTCCACAGTCAGCATAGTAGTTACAAACACTTATAATAATGAATTCTGCTTTGTCACAATTATACAAAAAAAAAAAAAAACCTGCCACAGTTCAAAATAAGCATATAGTATTAAGATTTTGTTTGCTTCAGGGGGAATAATTACCTCAGCAAGAATATCAATTCTGTTGCAAGGACTTTAGTAGTGAATAGATATGTTAAGATTATTTTATGTTGTTTTATATTATTATATTTTTATTATTATTTTTGTGAAAGAGGGCCTTCTGGAGCCAGGGAGGTAGCTCAGTGGCACAGTGCCTGCAAGGCAAGCATGAGGTTCTGAGTTTGATCCCTCCCCAAAAAAGGGGAGTGTTCCACTTCTGCCCATTCTGCTACCATGATGAATATTTAAATTTTTCTATTATTCCTAACTATAACTCTCTATAACTTTGCAGTATAAAAATATTTACTTTATATGTAGCAGTTCTTTAGATTGCAGAAGATACTTAAAATATACACATATTGGGCACATTGTTTTTAGAGTAACCCCTCCCAATTCAATTATCTCTTGTATGTTATTTCCTTTTCATTCTGGCTCCCTTCTTTCAGATGTTTTTTAGCTAGGTAATTTTTAACTTTCTCCATTACATCAAACAAACTTTTAATTGTGAAAAAGTAGTTACAACACTGAATATGATGAGTATTTTAAAAGTAATCCAACAGCATATGTTTAAAACATGGACAGTCATAATATCCATGGATTTAATGATATAAGCCACCAGCAACTACATTTTTCCTATTTAATTTCTGAATTATGTTTCAATTTAAATATTGAATATAAATATTTCTGTATTTTTGTATTTATTATTAGTCTTGCTCAAAATGTCCAGGATCATTCTGAATGATAATGTAGCAAACTACCACATTGCTTATCTCTCCAAGATTTTGATCTTCTACAAATCAAATGAGTATGTCATCTAGGCCTTCATATAAGCATTGATAAAATGATAAAGGATAGACATATAAGGGGATTTTCCATTACAAACTCAAAAACTTTATTCCAGGGTGACATTAATATATTTTAAGGAAATCTACAGTCTTCTTTCCCTTATATGCAAAGTTCTTATCAAAAGCCTTGGGAGATATTTAGCTATAGTTAAGACAAAATATGTTTGGAAATCCACTAATTCTCTACAAATACAAAAAATGTGAGTCAGTGTTGCTTGTTTCATGATAACTGTTTTCTTTTCAGTGCCTCTGAAATTAGTATCAGTTTGGTGATCCTTTCTAGAAATCTAGAAGAGGTAGAAATTAAACCTATTAATGTACACTGTCCAGAATTTATTTTTTTATTGACTTTTTTCTTCGATGTAATTGAAATAGCTTTTATTTCCTACATTTCTCTTTCTCCTATGAAATCTACTTTTAACTCAAAGAAGATATAAAACTGTCTCCTATCTCCATCAAAATTTTACTGCTCCTACTCTAGAGTTCTTCTGAAAACTTTTCAGTAAAGTAAGTATTACTTATATGTGATATTATTTTTATTTTCTTACTTCATATAAAACTGTAGTGTTCCCATGCAGGAGAGGTCCATAGCAGATGTAGGAATGTCCAACAACCCAGCCTAAGTCAGAAGCTGCCCACCACACCTAAAAAAATAAGATAATAAAATGCATATATGTGTTAATCAGAAAAACTTCATGCAGTGTAATTATTTTTGAGGGGGGTGGTGGTACCAGGGATCGAACTCAGGACCTTGCTCTTGCAAGGCAGGCACAGTGCCACTGAGCTAAATCCCCAACCCCTATGTAGTATAATCTTAAAACCATGGTTACCTCTCCAGGTTTAAGTCCGTATATGGAAGACATCGTCCAGTTTAGCATTACAGCATATCCTCCAGTGGGTCTGACCACACCCTATTGGAGAGAAAATGTGAAGTTAAAAATTAATTAAAAATGTGTAAAAGATTCTCCATCTTCATGTTATTTGGAAAGTTCCAGGTTGAAAGTAACACCAAACTACTTTGACTTTTATATAAATATTTGAATCATTATTTCTTTCACTTCTCCAACAGTAAACCCACAATAATTTGTCTTGATCAATGCCATTTGTCCATTTTCACATGACATTCTTGACTTTCCAAAGAAAACTTAGGGTTTCACAAAATTACATACAACAAATATTTTTTCAATGGTGAGACATATTACTCAACATAAAATTTCCAGATATGATGTCAGAACAAAAATGGAAACAAATTAAGTGAATAAAAATTTAAAATTTGACCATATACCTAAAATGTAGACTAAGATATAGTTATCTATTTCCTAAGGTGCTTAAATAATACTAGACTACCTAGAGGAAACAACGCTATTTTCTAACTGGAGCCCAATTACAGTGATAAGTAGAAGACATGCAAACACAATATTAAAGTTGAACAACTCTTTAATGATGAATTCTAGAAATCTGGGAAATGAATCCTAATGAGTTGGACCTTGCACTAGCACATTTGCCTAACAGTGAATTTGGGGCAAAAACTAGAAATTGTTACGTGATTATTACGCAGTTTCCACAAGTCAGTTTTAATAGCTTTCCTCAGTACTGTGAACACATTCAACTTCAATACCAAGTTATGAATACTAGTTACAAGAGTCATTATAAATAAGAACTGATGGTAAATGTAATAATTTCATGTATTGCTTTATTACGAAAAATTTATCATTAGCTTAATAGGACAGAACCAGAATAAGCAGAATATCCAGAATAAGCAGGAATAAGAAAGAAGAGAGACACATTACACTCATGCATTTGAAGTAGCTTTTAGTACAGTGATTATAACTGCCCTATGTAAAAATCATATTAATTGTTTTAAATAAAAGGATAAAGAATGAATTTACTATTAATTGTAGTTTAGCTCTGTCACTTTAATGTATACAAATCAGGAGGAAGAAAAAAAAGAAATTGACTTTCCATTAGTTACAAAAATTGTTGCTTCCTCAAGTACCACTAATAAAACATTGGTGTCAAGCTGTGAAACATATTTTATCTACTAGCAACAATACCTGGTCTCTTGGCAAATTTCAGATGCAGCTTTGTTGGCATTTGAGAGCTGTTTCTCAGGTTCTATGACACTGTTAGCATACATCTGGCTCTCCTAATCACCTTGGGGATATTACAAACCCTAAGCCCTCTGCCAGCAAGCTTCACACATGCACTTCGCCAAGTACAATGAGCAGCTAGCTATTCTCCACTATAGTGTATTCTATTTTAAGTGCACTTTGCTGATTAATTGGAAAGTCTTTTCCTATGGCTCAATAACTTGAGGAATTAAATATTAATCACTTTAGAAAGAACTTTTTTCTAGAAAATTTTATTTATTGGACAGAGGAGAAAAACACTTTCTTTTGTAGACAAAGTACTGTTCATATGTTATGGTAAGTAGCAAAACTTAATATCAGTAATGATTTAACTTAAGCTTTTTAAAAATTTTCTAGCCACTTTACCTGTCCATGCATTCGCAGCACATTTGTATTAACAATTCTAAAATTATTATAATAGAAAACATTTGTAGATTGTACAGTACATATGGTAAAATGCATTGTCTAGAAATGAAAAGAAATCAAAAACTAAGTATACACAACTAAGCAGTAATTCAGTTGGAAAACTGAATTCACAGGGTAAATTAACAAACTTATATTTCTCTCTCAAATCAGTGTTTCCTCAAATGATGTTTACCAACATTGCTTTGAAAGTCAATGAATTACTTAAATCTGACTGAAAAAAAGAAGTGAGATTTAAAAACTTAACCAAATCATGAATGAAAAAGTATTTAAAATTTTAAACCCTAAAACTTAGTTTTTTTGTGTGTTAAGTACTGAACCCAGGGCCTTGCAAAGCACGTACTCTACCACTGAGCTACACCCCAGCTTAATATTTAATATCTTTTAAACAGTATTGCTTCCTTCATCTTAGAATTTATCACTTTTTATTTTTCTATGTGATGATATCAATCAAAAAGGTGAAATGTCAAAATACTTAGAGGTTGTCATCAAAATTTTTCATTAAAAATGATAAAAATCGACCTGAAGAAGTCATAATTTTTGTTTTCACTGGTCTTCAAATTTCATTTTAATTTTTGTAAAGGATGAATATAAAAAAGTCTCAGTCAAGCATCATTTTACCATTAATTAACCTAAACTTTAGATTTGTAATTTGGTCTGGCCTCTCAAAATATCCAGATGATACAATTTTTAAATTTTTGCGTAGCTCATATGGCATAGAAAAAAAAGAATAGTACAGATATGGTAGGTAGCAATATTTACTGTCAGTAATAATTTAACTTAAAATATTTAAAAATTTTCTACATATATATTTTATAAGAAGTTTGAATAAACAAAAAAGAAAGATTAGAATTAAAATATTCTTTATTATAAATGTAAATTTGTAAATAACATAAAAAATAAACATTTTTTCTTGTTTGTAATCTTATTTTCCAGGTAATGATAATTACAATGCAAAGGGGAAATCTATTTAGCCCATGAAAACATAAATCTTAAAAAAAATCATATTTAAGTAAGGAAAATTAATCACAAACAAAAGGACGCTGTTTTTTCCTGAGAAAAGTTCTTGCTATGTTGCCTACGCTGTCCTCAAACTCCTGGCCTCAACTAATCCTCCTACTTTAGCCTCCAGATTAGCTGGAACTACAGGCATACAACCCCATACCTGGCTCTAAAATAACACTTTTAAAGTATATCCGAAATATGATGCATAGGGTAAAAATATTTATTCAGCACAAACACACTAAAACACAGGCTTCTTGCATTTTAATTTTAAACCTCTGCTATTACTTTATGTATGTACTTATATTCTTCTTACCTCATATTCTTACATACCTTAAAAGTAAAAACATTAAGTGATCAAATATGTTCTCAGAAAATCCTTATACTTTGCGAATATACTGTTCCTGAGGTGTTTTGTTATGTTTTGGGGTTGATTTTTTTTTTCTGTAGGATTAGCCACAATCCTTAAAATCTTCTGGAGAAGGTGACAAGATACAGGTGGGAATAACATGCTGAGTCCCAAATGAAAACATGAAAATGAATTCTTTCTCAGCAATGGGAAATAAGATGATGTAAGTGTCCTCTTTCTTTTTGACAACTTAGAATGTACACAGGATTTTTAAAAGTGATTCTCTAAAGGAAAAAATAGTGATTACTTGTCACCCAGGAATGGAACCACAGAGTCACCACAGAGAGTTCTTTAAGAAACCCAACTGCCTTTGAAGACAAAGAAAAGCTGCAAAATATTATACATGAAGCCATTAAAGTAAAACCGAAGATTTCAGTTGCTTCAACTTCAAGAAAACAATTGGAACTATAGGTATTGACAAGTAAGAGAAGAGATGACTGAGGTGTATGGTAAAATAAGATCTGGAGATAATTCATTCTAAGAGGGACGTGTGTGTGTGTGTGTGTGTGTGTGTGTGTGTGTGTGTTTGTGTAAGTCTGGATGACAAATCTCAGAATTCCAAGGCAAGAAAGATTGAAGTATATTAAAAGACTTTATACATTCTAGGTTGAGTCCTCTCCATCACTTACTCTGTATTAAAAGCTTATATAAATGTAATTATTTACATATATAAAATATGTATTTATTCACATTCACATGTATATGCTTAGACATATATATATATATATATGATTTATGCATATATACATATGTGTGTTTGTGTATTTATACATGTACTTCAACCCAGCCTGACTAGCTGAGGAAAAAAACAAAAGAGATAGGGAAAGGGCTGGGGATTTAGCTCAGTGGTTCCGGTGCCCACCTCGTAAGCATAAGGACCTGAGTTTGATCCCCGGTACCAAAACAAACAAACAAACAAACAAAAGAAATAGGGAATACGTATTACACTTGATGCAAGAAGTCCATGCCAGCTTTGGTGGCACACACCTGTAATCCCCGTACTCAAGAAGCTGAGACAGGAGGATTGCTGCAAATATGAGGCTAGCCTGGGATATATAGTGAGATCTAGGCCAGCCTGAAATACATAATGAGACCCTGTCTCAAAAATCAATCAACCAAACAAACAAATAAATTAGAAATCTATTACCAAATGATGGTTGGATTTGGAGGTTCATGAGAAAAATCGTTCTGATTTACACAAAAATTCTGCACACCAATGATAGTCTTGTCATGATAATGACTACTCTTATCATCACCTCTGTCTAGAATGAATCCTCAGTTCTTTGCTGAATCTGATTAGTTCCTACTTAGACCCACAAATATTTGAAGACACTGCAGAAGTACTACCTCCCCTGGGCACAAAGCCTCCACTCTCACAGCCAGCAAGCTGCACACAGGCAATTTGCCATGGACAATGAGCAGCCACTCCCAGCTATTCTGTCCTATCTTACATATGCTTTGCTAGTTAATCAGAAGGTTTTTTTTATGGCTTAGTAACTTGAGGAATTAGACAGTAATCACTTTGCAAACACTTTTTTCTCTAGAAAATTTCATTTATTGTGCAGAGAATAAAAAATATAGTTTCTTTTGGGGACTACAGGTTGTCCCTCTCCCTGTGTAGGTAGCAATACTTGTAGTGTTGTGTGCCTCTCCCTTCTATCCCGCAGTCCCCAGGGCCAGCCAACCTCATCAGAGCACTGGTGTCGCCAGCCCATCTTGGATCTGCTTCACCTCTTGGTGCTGGGAGGCTAATGCATTTGTATCTTCAGTGCCACGTCTGGCACAGAATGGGCATTTCATACATTTATTGACTGAATGAATGAACAGTGGGAGTGAAGAAACTCTAGTGTGAACAATGTAACTCTTAAAAAGATACCCTTCTTTGTTCAGGAGAAACCCTTGAAACTTGTAGAACTTAGTGCATCATTTTAGAAGAAATGGAATGATTCCATTTGGGCTACTTTATCTAATATAAAATCTCTTGCTGTAAGCTTTTGGGTGACTCTAAAACTATTTCTGTGGAAGATACTTTAACAACTGTATAATTTTTTTTAATAACTGTATAATTTTTTATTGATCTGAACAGCTGTGAGATAAGGAGCAAAGATGCAGCAAGTTCTGCATTTTAACTGCAAGAAATGTACCACACATTAAAAATAAGATAAAAAACTCATATCTCTCTCTCTCTTTCTGTGTGTGTGTGTGTGTGTGTGTCTCCCTTACACACACACATTTTTTATTCTTTCCTAGAGCAGGGAATAAGAATAAAATCTAATAACAAGTAGAAATAAAAGTTAAATAAGTTGTAAAAATACACAAAAGAACAAAAAATCTTATCTGTCACCTTCCTTCCTTTCAAGACTTTCCTTCTGGTTTTGCCTATTCTCCTTTGCTGCTATATTTATTTATTTTTTGTGTTATCAGTGTCCCTCCATAATATCAAGCTGGAAGGTGATAAATATGATCATTACTAAATCTCCCATTCCCAAAAGAACTCTCCATGTAGATGAGGAATTTTTATTGTGTGGGGCTTTGAAATACAATGCATACAGGTACCAAATTAAAACAAGATAGAAGTGCACAACACAACAAAAATGTATGCAAAGTAGCTTAGTTGTGATTGTTAGAGTATTTGCAGCAGTTCAGAGATTAACCTGTCATATAGCAAACCGACAACTCCACAGTTCGTAGATGTCAAAATGCAAATATGCCATAAATATATCTGCAAATTACCCTCCAAAAAGGACTCCTTTATATCTGTCTTATATGTTTCTATAAACAATAAGCATTGTAAACAGACTGTTTTTATGAACTCACAATATTGTTTTCCTCATGCAGATCAAAAATCGAGAAAACAAACTATGATGCTATAAAGTGTACTTCAATACTGCACATGTGCTCATCTTTCCTGTCCTTGCATTCTGAAGATAGCAACATTAAAATTCATATATTATTAGTTCTGATTAGAGCTAAAAAATGAGGTTAGAATTGCATGAATAAAGAGGAGTCTGAAGAGCTAACTGGAGAAGTCAGAGATGTTTCAACAAATATTCTGAGAATCTGCTATAGTCAAATTTTATGACTAGTTAGCAGAACCGAAGTATGATATACTCTAAGACCTGTCAAGATATGTGTAAGGTAGATTAAAATAAGTAAAGTTCAGCTAGCAAAATACAATTTCAAAACAATTATAATTCTTAAGTTCAACAGAGTTGAGAAAATTATGTCTGAGGGCCATTGAGAAGCACCTATCTTACCTTGTTGTTCTGCATGAAGGTCATACTTTACAAAACCCATTCAAATCACTCCAGTGACTTAAATTCCAGCCCTCCACAATAACGACACACAAAGGTCTAAGCTCCAGCCCTAGATGCACTTCTTGGGTTCAGATTCTCACTTCAACTGCTGACTGGCAGTCTCCATGTTAGTGTCCCCAAAATTCATCATCCTTAATATGGCTTTCCTAGCTCCAAACCATCCTCTCCTATTTCTATTGCAGTAAATATTCAAAATCACCCATTTGCTCAGGTGCAAATTCTTAGACTCTTCCTTTGACTCACTCCTAACCTCGAGTCAAATCTGATTCCTCCCCATTAAATGTAAAAGTAAAATCTTAAACTAAACAGCCTCCCAAACAACCTTCTTGTCTCTTTGCTTCTAGTTATCCATCTCCCTAATAAATGACTCACAGTCTGTCTTGCCATCACCTCTGGGCATGCACCTTTCCTCCAGAGTAGATTAGCAGGACTGTGGTTTACATATAGTTTTATCTGTTCTCACATAGAATGAGGACTCAGTACCTGAATATTGAACTAAGCCAAATTCAATGTCAATGGGGAAATTTCCAAGCAATTAAAGAAACCTCCAATTTACTGGAATTTACCCTTCAGGATGATATATATATATATATATATAT